CATTTTGAATTGCCATTTTCATGTGCACATATCATCTCTTCCCAGGTATACTGCAACTTTTTAAAGGCAGAAACAAATGATCATCTCTTTTTAAAGAAATCTAATAAATGACACTTATATTGTGAAGGAACCGTATTCTCATTAATTCTTTTATTTATCCTTTTATCCAACTAGTACTTTTGTGCGTCTACTCTGTGCTAGGCATATGTCCTCTGTTCTCCCGAAGTGTTCAGACCAGTTGGAGAAAACCTGATATCAAATGTGGTAAGAACTAGATTTGAGTCAGAAGACTGTGGTTTTGAATACTAATCTTTGCCACTTACTAGTTGTGTGATCATTTAAGCTCAACATCTTAGTGACTTCATCTGGAAAATGGGGATGATAATGCTTGCTCTGTCTGCCTCTCATAATAAAGATCAAACCGCATTGCACTTTATGTGCAAATATTTTCTAAATGACAGGATATAGTGGTTTTAATTTGTCTACAAATTCTTTGATAATCTTCCCTTCAAGAAGTGGAGCCTAATTCTCCTCCTCTTGAGTCTGAGCTAGATTTAGTGACTCGCTTCTAACAGGTGCAATAAAGCAAAATAATGCTGTGCAATAAAACAGCAGTGCAACTTTTTTCTTGGTTACCCTATTTATTTCCTTTGTCTGAGGGAAGGCAGCTGCCATAATGTGAGAAACCATATGGAAAGGAACTAGAGCCTCCTGACAACATGCTCAAACTTGGAAGCAGAACCTTCAGCCCCAGACAAGCCTTCAGATAACCAAAGTCCTAGCCAACCCCACTTGACTATAACCTCATGAAAAGACCTGAAACATAGCACCCAGCACAGCTGCTCCTGGCTTTCTGACCCCCAAATCATGTAAGACAATATATGTTTTAAAAGTTGTTTATGCAGGGGGTAATTGGTTAGGTAGTGCTGGATAACTGGATAATATGTAGCATACTAAAGAAATTTAAGGTATTATTTTTGACTGTTAATATTTGTTTAATGAAGAATAATATAATCTATTGGAGTTTATTGCTGAATCATGATGAGCTCAAAGTGGAAGAAAAAGTGGCTTCCAATAAAAATCACAAAACATTAAGATCTAGAGAAAAATCAGATGGATGTAAAATTTCTGATAGGTGATTTACAGACATTTCTCACCTTGCCACAAGCTTCATTTTCTGAGAGGTTTCAACCTGTGACAGTGACTGCAGGCTACATGCCAAAAGGCTACAGGCTGGAAGAATTGTTCATTTTTCCTGACTGCTTTTGTTTTATTTCATTTTCGGTTCTCATTTTGAGCTAAAATTGATAGTTTTAATTAAATAAGAAATCAGAACTGTACTTCTCCACTACATATAATATACATTTTTTTATACTAAAGAAAGTAACCATGGTTCTTTGTTAAACATAAAGGCCATAAATGTGGGAATTTATTATTTGTTTGCATCAATGTGACCTTCTGAAAGTCACTGCTATCCCTTTGCCATAAGTAACACTGACCCAGCCTGGCTTCCATTATTAATAATGCCACTGGGAGGCTGAATTCATAGACCTCACCAGTCAACTTTGTCAAAATTAATTTGAACCAGAACAAATTTAAATTTAAAACTATCTAACTACATCTGGTCCACAGGATGCCCATTTATAACCAATTTCTTAAACACCCCACTGAGAGCACAGTTGTGGAGGAAGACTGTCAATTTATTAACCTATTTAATAATAAATACAGAATTTAAATTTCTCACTGCATATTTATTGACTCTAATTTTGCCAGGGCTTTAAGTGAAGGGCTTTGGAAGTTATGTTAACTCTTTAAAGCCATGAGAATAGTACTTAATATGTTTGCCTTAAGTGTTATAGGTAATAAAAGAATATGAATCATACAAATCTTCTGGAAATATCTTCTTTATCAATCTGCTTGGTTAAAGGGTTGGATACTTCATGGAAAATAAAATAGTGCAGTTACTAGCTAAACATGACATGCTATAATATATAGAGAAAATTCTGAAGACTCCATCAAAAATCCACTAGAAGTAATAAATGAATTAAAGTTGCAGGGTACAGAATTAATCCCCAGAAATCAAAAGCTTTTCAATATACTAATAAAGAAGTCTCAGAAAGAAAAATTAAGAAACAATTCTGTTTATAATTGCACCAAAAAACCCTCAACCCTAAGAATAAACTTAACCAAAGAGGTGAAAGTCCTGTATTCTGAAAACTATAAAACACTGATGAAACAAAATGCAGATGACACAAATAAATGGAAAGGACTCCATGTTCATTGATTGGAATAATTAATATTGTTAAAATATCCATACTGTCCAATGCAATTTACAGTCTCAATGCAATCCCTATCAAAATACCAAACACCATTTTTCACAGAACTAAAACAAATAATACTAAAACTTGCATGCAACCACAAAATAGCCCAAATAACCAAAACAACTTAAGAATTGAGCTGGAAATATCACAATTCCAGATTTCAAAATACACTACAAAGTTACAGTAATCAAAACAGTATGATACTGCCATGAAAACAGACACATAGGTAGTGCAACAGAATAGAAAGCTCAGAAATAAACCCATGTTTATATGGTCGATTAGTCTATGACAAAAAAGGCAAGAATATACAATGGGAAACATATCAACAAATAGTGCCAGGAAAACTGGACAGCTACATGTGAAAGAATGAAAATGAACCATTTTCAGACACCATACAGAAAAATAAACTCAAAATGAATTGAAGACCTAAAACCATAAAAATCCTAGAAGAGAACACAGGCAGTAGCAACATTTTTCTAGATATGTTTCCTAAAGAAGGGAAACAAAGCAAAAATAAACTATTTGAGCTACATGAAAATAAAAAGCTTTTGCATAACAAAGAAAACCATCAACAAAACAAAAAGTCAACCTACTAAAGGGGAGAAGATATATGCAAATGATATATCCAGAAAGAGGTTAATATTTAAAATATTTAAAGAACTTATAAAACTCAACACCCCAAAACCAAAAATCCAATTAAAAAATGGGCAGACGACATGAATAGACATTTCTCCAAAGAATCCAGGTGGCCAATAGATGCATGAAAAGATGCTCATAATCACTCAACATTAGGGAAATACAAATCAAAACCACAATGAAATATCACCTCACACCTATCAGAATGTTTAAAATAAAAAAACCCAAGTAATAAGTGTTGGCAAGGGTGTGGAGAAAAAGAAACCCTCATGCACTGCTGGTAGGAATGCAACTGGTAGGGCCACTGTGGAAAACAGTATGCAGGTTCCTCAAAAAATTAAAAATAGAACCACCCTATAATCCAATAATTGTGCTCCTGAATATTTACCAAAAACCCACAAAATTACAAATTCAAAGGGATGCATATTGACAGCATTACTTACAATAGCCAAACTATGGAAGCAGCCAGTCTCCATTAATCCAGATGAATGGATAAATAAGATGTGACATTTATAATGGAATATTATTCAGCCATAAAAAGAATGAAATCTTGTCATTTGCAACAATATGACAGAAGTAGAGAGTATAATGCTGAGTGAAATGAGTCAGAGAAAGACAAAAACCATATGATCTCACTCATGTGGAATTTAAGAAACAAAACAAATGAGCAGACAGAAAAAGACAAAGAGAGAAATCAGGAAACACTCTTAACTATAGAGAACAAATTGATGGTGACCAGAGGGGAGGTGGGTGAGGAAATGGGTGAAACAGGTGATGGGGATTACAGAAGGCACTTATGATGAGCACCAGGTGATGGACAGAATTGTTGAATGATTATATTGTGCACCTGAAATTAATATAACACTGTATGTTAACTAAATGGAATTAAAATAAAAATGTAAAAAAACAAAATAAAAAACTTATACAAATCAACACCAAAAAACCCAAATAATCCAATTAAAAAAAAGCAACAGGTGGAAAGCCCGAACAGATATTTTTTTTCTACAGAAGACATACAGGGAAATGCAAATCAAAAGCACACTGAGATATCACTTTACTCCTGTCAGAATGGCAAAATAAAAAACAAAAAAATAACATGCTGGAGAAGATGTGGAGACAAAGGGACTTTCGTGCACTAATAAAATGTAATTTGGTGCAGCCACTGTGGAAAAATAGTATGAGGAAAAAAATAAAAATTGAAATACCATATGATCCAATAATTTTACCACTGGGGATTTACTGAAAGAAAATGAGGGGTTGAGCATCTGGCTTTGGCTCAGATCATGATCCCTCGATCCTGGGATCAAGTCCTGCATCAGACTCCTCACAGGGAGACTGCTTCTCCCACTGCCTATGACTCTGTCTCTCTCTGTGTCTCATGAGTAAATAAATAAAATCTTAAAAAAAAGAAAAAGTAAATTCAAAAAGATATATGTACCCCTCTGTTTACTGCAGCATTATTTACAATAGACAAGATATGGAAGCCACTCAAGGGTCTATCAATAGATGAATGGATAAGGAAGATGTAATATTATGCATCTTTGAAAAAGGATGAGATTGTGCTATTTGCAATAACATGGAAGGACCTTGAGGGTACTATGCTATATGAAATGAGTCAGACAGGGAAAGATAAATACCATATGATTTCACTTCCATGTGGACTCTAAAACCAAACACAGATACATAAGCAAACAAACAAGCAAAATCAGATCTATAAATACAGACAACAAACTGATGTTTGCCAGAGGAAAGGAGGTGGGGAATGGACAAAATTGGTGAAAAGGAGTGGGAGATACAGGTTTCTAGTGATGGAAGGGGTAGGTCACAGGATGAAAGGCCCAGCATAGGGAACACAGTGGTATTTTAATAGTGTTGTATGACAACAGACACTGGCTACCATTGTGCTGAGCACAGCATAACACAGAGAGGAGTTGAATCAGTATGTTGTACACCTGAAACTAACGTAACATTGTGTGTCAACCACACTCAAATAAAAAAAAATTAAAAAAAGAAGAAAGTAAGACCCTGTGAAAACTTTCTTACTTGTAGGAGATACGCTGTTGACTGGAGAGGGTTGGGTGCCAAGAGTAGATGTGACTCCTTCAAGTGGAGGATCTGCTGAGGGTTTCACGGAGCCTGAAGGGATGAAATGGACAATAATGATGAACAAAATGTTGTAATAGAAAGATGATGTGTTGACTTAACTTCCCCCACAACTTTATCCATTCACCTAGGAAATCATTATGGAAGGGCCGTTACATGCAAGGTCATGCGATATGTGGTGGAAGATATCAGGCTGTCTTTAAGGACCAGATGCCTCGGTAACAGGCAGGGAGCCAGGCATTGTGTTGCGTGTAGGGCACCAGGGGGATGCAAAAAAGGGGCATCAGACAAGATTGGAAGGTCAGGGGAAGCTTCCTGAAAGAATATAACATTTAACCAAGCCCTGGTGAAACGATTACAGCAGCTAATATCTCGCAGCATTTGAGAAGTAATCATACAATTTACAAATTCTGAGCCTGCAAACTTTTATTGGCAGGATAGAAACGATGTAACTATCCAACTGGAAGTAACATCAATGAGCCTAAGATGAATGGTGTGATTACTGCTTTTTCGAAAACGCCTATTTTTGTCAGAACATTTTTATCTTGCTATAACTTTTCTCTTTCTCTGTGTCGGGAGCAGGTAGGGATGAAGGAGGGGCTAGACTATATTGTTTTATCATACTAGACATTTATGTCAATTCCTTAGAGCTCCCATTATGAAACTGGAAAATAGCCCTATTAGCAGTATAAAATAATTTACAAATGCCAGAGGATCTACTGACTTTAGGAAGGTCTGGGTTAAATATGGTTAAATGATTTTGAGGCTAGGGAATTTTGTGATTTTTCTAGATACAGTGACATTGGGTATAGTGTCACACATCTGATGAGCTGTGTCAATTATCTGGACATTTAATTATAAATTATACTATTGGTTCTATTCTATAATTTATTTTAAGAGAAAAGTATATATTACATAAGCTGTCACCTGATAGCATATAGCACATTGAAAGGGATTTGTGTTTTGTAACCGAGATGTTTCTAGATTTTATTTTCAGTGTTGGTAATGTTGTTATTGCTGTTGGTTGTAGGTGATGCTTGCAGCTGGCTCTGACTTGTTATCACACAAGTGATCCCTTGCTATTAAGTATTAAGCTCCGAGGACGTAGGTGTGGGGTGGGGAGAAAGTAACCTGGAGAGTAGACAAATAGGTTAGTGGAATGACCACCTTCTTCCACCCAAACCATCTGAAACATGTTTGAACACTTCAGCATGACATTCAAATCCAATCATTATTTTTTCCCCCTATTTCACTCCCCACTTCATTTCCCAATGCGGCCTATCATCTTTTATATCTCAAATCATACCCTCAATCCAACAGGTGATGTTTCAACCCAATTTCCCATGGATTCTTGCTTTCTGTGCATGCTGCTTCCTTATACTTTCCCACTGCAAACTGCCTGGTAGGCACCTTCTCAAACATGAAGAATCCCGGGGATCTTTGTGATGTGCTCTTAGTCCTCAGTGTTTAACTTAGCAAAGGCCTTTTTACTCTACATCATCAGTATATCCCTCAAGAGAAATGATTAGTGTTGCTCCTCACTGTATTTCTGGTTTCTGGCAAATGCAAGTGGATGAATGAATGCGTATGGGTTCCTCCTAACCACTGAAAGAGAGAAGACCGACTTTAAGTACATATCTGACCACCGATGCATAATAAGGATCATCTTCCAAAGTAGTAACCTTAATGAGCACGGGCCTGGAAAAAACAATGCCTAGCTGTTTTTCTCTGTAGATTGATTGGAACAGAGAATGGCAAACTATGGCCCACAAGTCAAATTCTACCCACTGCCTACGTTTGTAAATGAAGTTTTATTGGAACAAAGCCATGTCCATTTGTTTCTGTAATGTCTATGGCTGTTTTTGTGTCCTCAGTGACAGAGCTGAGTAATTATGGTAGAGACCAGATGATCCACAAAGCATAAGATATTTACTACCTGGTAGATAAAAACAGAAAATGTTTGTTGACTCCTGGAAAAGAAGATATTGATAGGTTATGCTTAATCCTAGACTTCCACAATGGGAAATCTTTATTTTTCATTTATTGAATATTTCTATTTTAAGCTATTGTTCTGCTGTATTTAACACCCACATAGCTTTGTAATCTGAGGGGTTCTTGGCACACACATCCTTACAGCATATTAGGAAGTTCCTACTGCAAGATTTGTATTTTAAGATGAACTCTTTGCCCTGTAAGAAAAGTGATGCATAGCTCTCAACATGAAACCTGCGGCAAAAAAAAGGGGGGGTTGGGGAGAGCTCCTGGTTTCAGACTGTCCTGTAAAGTAGAAACTCTGCCTTGGTCAAAACAAAACTGAGGGGGTGTAGAAAGAAGTGGCTAAAACCTAACAGAAAAAAAAAAAAAAAAACTTTTTCCCAAAACTCAAATGCAGAATTTAGCAGAAACATGTGTCAGCCAGTTTTCAGACCATTGTGTTTGCCATTGTGTTGTATAGGATTAAGCTGTTGGCCTAAAGCAACTTCATCTGTTCCTGAGTGTGTCCCCTCTGCAGTAGGCCAGGCAGGGTGCTCAGGACCACGCTCATAGGCAGCAATGGCCAGATGTCTGTCTGTCCCACAGGGCAGCTGGTCAGGTCCAGGGCTTTCTCAGAACTCCAATCAGCTCTTAGCTGGTCTGCTTAGAAATGAACCAAACTCCAGGCCCTGCTAGGTCTTTGCATCTCATAATGTGGCCCATGGTTCCTCTTAGGAGATTGTTAGAAATGTAGAATCTCAGGCCCTGCCCCTCCACCTCAATTTAGTGAATCAGAATCTGCTTTTTATAACAATATCCTTAGGTGACTGCTGTGCATTATTAAAGTTCTTAACTGAGACTTAGGATCCCTAGGATCGGTCAGGGCATGAGAAAAATCATGAAATAGGAAGCCTTTGGCATATTCTGGCTCAATATTCAGTGGTTCTCTTGCCCCGTTATTGAGATATCTCTTTTTAATCCTTTCTCCACATCCCAAAATACACATGCACACTCAAACACACAGGGCTTATCAATCCCTAACTCTTCTTCTATCCCAAATGGGTATTTGCAGTCAACTTTTGCTTTAAAAAAATCCCCTCCACCTCAAAACAAGACAACTCTTTGTATATGCCAAAAATTTGACCGTACAGTACTACAATTTTAGATATTCTGATAAGCTAGGCTAGCAGTAAGACTACCTTGGCCTCTTCGGCTAACTAGTAGTCTTTAAACTTTCGCAAATGTCCTTAGGCCATGTGATAGATTTTCCTTTGAGTATCTGTAGATCTTGCATTCTTTCCTAGAAAGAATAGAGTATTCTTATATCTCCTGAAACAGGAAGCAGACCCCTTTGTACAACCCTCCAGTATGGAGATAACATCTCTAGCTGGGACCACCAAGTCTACACATCATCAAGAAATGTAACAGACCATTGCAGTCCCTTATTAATTAACTGCTCTGAATCCTTTGAAAAATCCTTGGGCCAGGCAGAGACCTTGGAGTTGGCTTTTGGACAAAAATCTGCCTCCTACCCAGGTGGTCAGTCTCCTGAATAAATCTCACAGACTTTTCCAATCAAAATTCCTCTTTTGAGTATTGGCCTATTGAGCAATGGGCAGCCTGACTTGGGGTTTGGTAGCAGCAAGATAGGATATTTTGGAAAGAACTTAATATATATATATATATATATATATATATATATATATATATTTATTTATTTATTTATTGTTGAATCACAGGACTCTGCAGGTCCTGGTACTCAAACAGCTGCCTGATGAGCCACTGATCACCCTATCCTGACCCCTTTCCCTGTCTGAGTTTACTAGAATAAGAATCACTGAACCTTTCAACTTTCTGGGAGATGTGAGGTAGGTGGGGAAGGGAGCATCTCTGAAGACTAACAGCTTGTAGATTTCTAATTCTTCTCTGGGAATAAAGTGGAACAAAAGCTCTTTTCCTCTCACTAAATCTCCTTTTTTCTCTGTAATATTCTCAAAATTTCTTTACTTTAGATTTTTCTTCTGTATTTTCATCTCAATATCTGTCAACAGTAATGGCTTGATAAAGCAATAACTCTTGCACAGGCATCAAAAGTTTTCCCAGAGTTCATAAGGCACCCAGAAGTACGACCACAAGCAGAAAGCATGTTTGGAAGTAAGTGTTTAAGAACATACAACAAGTAAGGGAGTGTGATCCAGTGATGACATGGCTTTACAGAGTCTCAGCTGCATCTTCTAAATCATTCCCAAAGATACATGCTAGAATGTGACCAGATGTAAGCTATAATTTTGGGAAACCAAACTCCTCAAGATTTATTATCTTTAATATTTGATCATAAAGGACAAAAATTCATTTGACAATTTAAAAATAACCATCTGCTCAGAACCTAAAATTATACTAGATCAAGGGCTGTCCTGTAAAATTGGAGTTATGGTATGCTTTGGGTAACAGGATCAGTGCTTTTCCTTATTATCCTAAAATTATTCATTATTTTCTGATCTTAAAACTTAGCATAGTTCAAGAGAAAGAAAAGACAAGTCACAGACTGGGAGGAAAATATTTGCAAAAGACTCAACTGGTAAAGGACTATTATTTGAAATATACAAAGATCTCTTAAAATTCAACAGTAAGACACTAACCAACTTGATTAACAATATTGATTAACAATAGGGTCAAATAGACATCTCACTAAGAAGATATATTGATGGCAAATAAGCATATGAAAAGATGCTTCACATAGTATGTTATCAGAGAAATCCAACTCAGACAACAATGAGATACCACTACACACCTATTAGAATGGCCAAAATCCGTAACACTGACAATATGAAATTCTGGTGAGGATGTGAAACAACAGGAATTCTCATTCACTGCTGGCAGGGATGCGAAATGGTAGGGCCACTTTTGAGTGTTTTTTTATAAAACTAAACATACTCTTACCTACGGTCCAGCAATTTTATCCCTTTGTATTCATTCAAAGGAGTTGAAAACTCATACATGGATGTTCACAGTAGCTTTATTCAGTATTGCCCAAACTTGGAAGCAACCAAAATGTTTTTCAGTAGGTGAACAGATATATAAACTGGTACATGCATAAAATGGAATACTATTCAGTACTAAAAAAAAATAAGCCATCAAGCCACAAGACAACATCTAGGAAGCGTAAAGGCATATTACAGAGTGAAAGAAGCCAATCTGAGAAGGCTACATACTATATGATTCCAACTAATAGGACATTCTGAAAAGACAAAACTGTGAAGACTGTAAAAAAATCAGTGGTTGCCAGGGTTTGGAGGTGGGGGTAAAGGATGGATAAGTGGAGCATGGAGGATTTTTAGGGCAGTGAAAATTTAGGCTTGTTTTAAACCACTGATGGGTACATGTTACCATACATTTGTCCAAACCTGTAGAATGTAGAACACCAAGTGTGAATCCTAAGGTTAAATCATGGACTTTGGATGATTATGATGTGTCAGTGTAGGGTCATCAGTCATAACAAATGAATCATTCTGGTGAGTGTAGCTGATAACAAAGGAGGATATGCACGTGTGTGGGAGGGCATATAGGAAATCTCCACACTTTTCTCTGTTGCTGTACCTAAAACTGCCCTCAAAAAATAAAATCTTGAAACCAAGAAAAGCTCAGTTTTTTTAAATAAGTTTTTATTTATTTATGATAGTCACACACACACACACAGAGAGAGAGAGAGAGAGGCAGAGACAAAGGCAGAGGGAGAAGCAGGCTCCATGCACCGGGAGCCCGACGTGGGATTTGATCCCGGGTCTCCAGGATCGCGCCCTGGGCCAAAGGCAGGCGCCAAACCGCTGTGCCACCCAGGGATCCCCAAAAAGCTCAGTTTTAACATCAGAAAAGATTAGAATTTCAAACATGGTTCTGTCTGTGAGGAGAATAAGGTTTTCCTTAGGAATTTGAGGTTATTTGGTCTTTAGCTCATATCCTTAGAGTCTGCTGAAGTTACTGGCAAATCTTTGTGAGAACCAGTTCCTTTATCCTGTTCCAAGACCATAGCCCTAACTGTGTTCATCCTTCTAGAAAGGAAGTGCACTTATTCTTGAGGGAATTAGACAAAATTGAGTATGGATGTTTCAGTGCAAACCCATGACCACTTCTGAATGATTAACTCAAAGTTCACAGGGAGATGAATTTGTGTTTGTAAATACACACACACACACACACACACACACACACACAGAGGCAGCATTATAGGCATGATGCCACTGCCCCAGATTCAGGATGGCACCTGCTTCTGAACAGTGGGGATGGATTTACACTGAGCCATAGATCCTTCCCATCCAAGGCTCCCGCGACCCAACTGCCTGCATTTGTGAAAGGGCTGGGTAGGACCCAAGATGCAGATAGTGGCCTTGGAACAAAGGGTCACTTTCCCTTATAAACTATCCTGGGTTTTATGAGTACATTACACACTACAGTATCTGAAAATGAGAAGGTGGTAAAAGATGTTAATGGTTCTGTAGAGTTGTAATAATGGCTACCAAAGCTGTTTAAGTATTACTTTACTGTGACATATGCATGTTTGATAGTTGTCATTACAGGCCTCTATTTTTTATAGGCAATCTGTTGTTGCTGTATTTGTTGAGACATTTGTTCATATCTTTTATGTAGTAAGATCTGCATTATTTGGTCAGGTTTAGAGTCGTGAATATTCTGGTCAATCAAATATTGTGATAAGTAGAATGATCCTACATATCGATTTTCAAATCATAAAAGTCTTCAATGTGCCAAATTCTGTGCTTCAACCTAGGGGCACTAAAGTCATTAAGATATAGTCCTTATCCTCAAGCAATTTATATCTCATACATGGTTTATCCATTCCTAAGTATTAAAATTTTAAGTGTTGTATATAATTGAGGGTTTTTAGTGACTCAGAAGGAATTTTAGGATTTTAAGAATCTTTCTTGATCATCAATATATTAGTGCTAATTTTTATTATAGAGTACTTTAACAGAAAGTTATTAATGAAATTTGAAAAAATTGCTATATTCACTAGAAATTCTTAGAAATAGGAATCAGCTACTTTTTATTTGAAGAGATTCTTTTAAGCAGAGTCCCATTATTTTATCAAAATTTTAATAGTATGGAATTTAATAATTCTGAGTTGTGTAAAGAGTTTTCTGAGATTAAAATACCATGGAAATAATGAGCATTCTATTTGTTCTAATTAGAAGTGTTCTGAGCTTATGGCAGTCTTGGTCACCCCTTGTTGACCTTATGAAATAGACAACTCACCCAAGGAAAAAGTGATCTTTTCAGATGAGATATTCCACACTTTATTTCCAGGGGCTGGAGACAGAGCCGTACACCAGATGGTCAGGTTTTGTGATTGGGCTGGTTTATTACCATACACCCTTGTCAAAACAGACTTCAGCTCCAAAAATCCACTTTTGTCTTTTCTCTTTTCATTTGTAATGTATATTTCTGCAAGACAGATTAAAAACAAGATCAATCACCAACATTTTCTGTATGAGCCATAAAATGATGTCAGGGCATGGCTGGGGGTGGTTCAGTTTATGGTAACAGAGAGTCTAAAATGGTCAAACCACAGCTTCTGTACAGTTTATTCCCACAGGCCTGGAGTTAACTTAAATGGCTTTGCTCACGCTCCTACATGGTATTGATCCATGGTCAAGGTACAAAATGTACTGATTCATAATGTTGCTTTATTTGTGACCATGGGTCTGAGGGGGCTGGGGGCCAGTTGCCCTAGCTCACCAGCATTGTTTATTCATAACAGTGAGATTGATGATTTGCACCTGATCTGGGCTAGAACCTGGGAAGTTTCTGTAGAGTCTGGTTACATAGCAGAGATGTACATAAGGAAAATATAAAACAATCTCATCTTGACTCCCCACTTCTGAGGTGTTCTGTGCCATACTGGTCATCCCCCCTTTACCAAGGACCCATGTCTGATTTCACTGGCCCTTTTGCTCTACATCTATACATGTGATGCATATCTTTACTTTCATGGTGTTGTTATATTATATCTTTTTCCTGAAATAATCTGTAGACTTATAACCATTGTCATTTTGGGTCCTGTAAGTCTTCTTTAGAAGTAGAAACTGTTTAACTGCCATTGTGAGCTCAACCTCCAAATAGCATACATGGCAGCAGGAAATTAATGTAAAGCCATCTGTCACTGTAGGCCAGAACTTTCTGAACTCTTCATAGCTTCTTTACACTACAGGTTCTAAATCCTAGTTTTGAGGCTGTTACTTGCCAAAGAAATAAGTAAATGGTTGTATCCTGGTAGCATTCTCACCACGCTGTCTGGCCTCATGGTTGGGAACATAACTGACACATCAGACCAGGGCTTACTTACAGAAGAACGTATCTATAAAGACCTTTATGAGGCATTTTCAGGATGGCATCCAGTCCTTATTATGGGTGAATTGTTTTTAAAGTGAATAACAAAACCAGTAATGATCTCAAAATGAATCAAGTGGATCGCTACAATCGTTAATCAATATGGACTTTTTATTTTATCAGTTAAAAATAATAATATAGCAAGAGCTATGGGACTTACGGCTGAAAACATAATGAGATTTGAGGGGAAAAAAAATGACTCAAGAGAAAGAAGAGGGGGTGTTGTCCAGGACAGAGAATGGCTGGGATCATTCTGGCCAATGCTGCCTGCTTGCTACCTCTGAAAAACGTGGCTTTGTACATTCTCACCTGAACTTGTCTCAGTGTGTATGTTTCCACTCCAAGAATTTTTAAGCCTCTTGGTGGAGTTCCTTGTCATAAAGTCCGGTCTTTTATGTTTACTTCTAGTCTTCCTCAGACCACTCCACTTAGGGCCTTACAAGAAAAAGTAGAAAGTATTTCTTTGTGGATTTAAAGCAGTGGTGCTAAGTTATTTGAACTAAATCAAACTATTAATGAGTACACGTTGAATTAAACTTTTTTGCCTTCATATAAAAGATCTGCTTTTATTAATAGTTGAATAAAGCACTAGTGTTTATATAGGAGTTAAAGAAGTCAGGTGTGGGGCACCTGGGTGGCTCGGTTGGTTAAACATCCAACTCTTGGTTCTGACTCAGGTCATGATCTCAGGGTCCTGGGATCGAGTGGGGAATCTACTTCCCCTCTTCCTCTGCCTCTGCCCCTAACCTGCTCATGTACTCTCTCTCTCTAAAATAAATAAATCTTACAAAATAAAAAGAAGTCACGTGCATTTCTTAATTCTGGGAAATGCTACCTACGCTAGTCCTCTTGGAGGTGCTAGATGAGATATCCAAAAATGGCATCTGGTAGGCAAGATGATGTTTGTCTTGGAATGAGAATTGTTCTTCAATGCCAGGATCAACTTGGGCAATGGCAGTTTCTATTCTTTGTTTTCTTTCTTTCTTTGCCAAATCCATTTCCATTGACTGACTTCCTTACCTTTTTTTTCACCTCGAGGAAAGCCTCCTTTCGTAAACCACGTGAGATTTGCTGTGGGAAATACATTCCTCAGGGAGCAGGTAAATGTTCTCTGGGAGAAAAGGCAGACCATAGAAAGGCTTATTTGCAAATTCAGAAGAAATTGGTACCCCTTCCATCCCTGCCAACTCTCACACAAGGCAAGTTGGCAGGAAATGATTTTCTCCATCTTCAACAAGGCTGTGTTTACCTTTCAGAGGTTATGTGAAAATGTGAACTACAAATAGGCTGTCTCTTACATAGACATCATGAATTCACAGGTTAATTTGTGAAGAATCTTGGACTAGACTAATGTTGCAAGTCTGGAGTCCAGGTTCTGGAGAAGGGAGATCACAACTCTATACAGGAAGAATAAAATAATATTAAATATAAGCCCAAGACTAGAAAGATATCCTCTAACAGGTAGAGGACAGAAAAGAATATTCTGTTAGACTAAAAGCTAAAAGATATCCACATTTTGGTTGTTCCCATTCCCAAAATAATATAAAGTACTATTAGTAGCAACAACCACAGAAACCATTATTGTAAATATTTCACTTTTGACTTGTAAAGAATTTATGTAATTGAATTTTCACTTTAGCATCTTAATAATCCTATATGGCAGGTAGGACATGTCTTATTATTGCCATTTGACAGATGGAGAAACCAAGGCACCAAGTCACAGGACCGCTAAAGGGGGTGGGACGTAGTCCACAGCACAATTGGGAACTATGTTACCCCAGTCCCAGCCCAAGATATTTCTTGGTTTAACATATTGTACTGAAATATGAAAGAGTGAGAACAGATAGCTTATGTTACAAAACCAGAAAATAGAGTCAGTTATGTTTTATTTGCAGCACGTATTTGCTCCTTGTGAGATGATAGTTTACTTCAACAGCCTGGGAAAAATATCCATTAAGACTTATTGAATCCTCGGGGATGCCTGGGTGGCTCAACAGTTGAGCATCTGCCTTCGGCTCAGGGTGTGATCCTGGAATCTGGGATCGAGTATCACATTGGGGTCCTTGCATGGACCCTGCTTCTCCCTCTGCCTGTGTCCCTGCCTCTCTGTGTGTCTCTCATGAATGAATGAATGAATGAATGAGTGAATCAATCAATCAATCAATCAATCTATCTATCTATCTTTAGGAAAAAATACTTATTGGATCCTCATTATTTTATATGAGACACTGCAGAATTATAATCCCATTTATCGTTATTTGTTTTCTCATCAAGAGATGCATGTATTTTACATACAACCAACCCTGGTTCTTCTTCTCAAATATTTTCCACAACTGATGAATTCACCAGTTAACCAGTAAAGAACAATGAACTACATGTAACACTCATTCCATACTTGGCAATGGGGACATGTGGTAGGAATTCATGTGGTAGGAATGCAGATCCATGACAGGCTTACTGAAGAAACCTCTTGTCAAGTTAATAAAAATGTTAAAAAGTTTTACTCTTGTGGATTCTCTGAATCCAGATTTTACAGAGTGATTCAGATTTCAAGAACTCTCTGCCACCTCCAGACCATGTTCCAAGATTTTTGTTTCAGAATGTGGTTCTTGTCCTGAACTCCTCCAAGCCTCTCTAAAATTGAAAAGCCACAGACTAAACTAGCTCAAACTGAGGTCAAACCTCTTATGAAACATCAAGATTATGGTTTTGCTGAGCAAGCCAAGCTATCGCTGGTTGGGAACTTCCAAATGAGTAAGAAAAAAAACATGTTAAATTTTAAAAATATGATATTAATATGGACAAAAGTCTCTGTGTACACACCTAAAAGCGCACACCCACATTCCTCTGTTGAGAAGGTAACGCCACTCACTCACTTAACATGTGGCTATTACATCCATGAGACAACCGAAGAATTGGTTTCTCCAACACATTATTCTAAGTTACACATGGAATATGTGAGCAATAGCACAAATAATTATGTAGTAAGTGGTGAAAAGTATTTGGGCAGTTCTGTAGGAGAGCAGAGAAGAGTGAGCTCTGGGAATGGAACAGAGTTATATTTTGCAGACAGGGAGGAGATGGTCCTGGATTGCACAGTTGGTCTGTGGTGGAAAGTAGTGGATAGATGGAAAGGGCTTGTAGGCCTATTTGTGGGGTGGGACTTTGTCCTGGAAGCAGAGGGAAGCCAGCAGGGGGAAGTCAGAGCATGACAAGATTGAGGAGTCAGGAAAAGTGAATCCAAATCTGGCTGTAAGAATGATCATTCCCTTTTTTTCCACAGACGAAATACCGCAACGCTGACCATTTGTATGTCAGCCCAGATTCAGTTCGCCTAAGTTTGGGCAGAACCTGTTCAAAAGGGCTTTCTGTAAAATCATTTAAAAATGTTAGCTTTTTTGTTTAGAAAGAGGAAAATTAAAAAAAAAATTCCACTATTTGTTTAACAGCTCTTCATTGCTATTTAGAGTTTTTCTGCCCTTCAACCTTCTTGCTTCACTTGAAAGTTTATCTTTCTGTCTCTGTTTCCTACTCTGCCATAGAGGACTGGCATAGAAGATAGTGGTTTCTATCTTCTCTTCTATAACTCAAGCATTTGTCTTCCACAGACATCTTCTTTAAATGTTCCTGTCTCGGGACCCCTGGGTGGATCAGTGGTTGAGCATCTACCCTTGGCTCAGGGCGAGGTCCTAGGTCCTCAGATTGAGTCCTGCATCGGGCTCCCCAGGAGGAGCCTGCTTCTTCTTCTGCCTATGTCTCTGCTTCTCTCTCTGTGTCTCTCATGAATAAATGGATGAAAAGTTAAAAAAAAAAAGATGTTCCTGTCTCCTCTTGGTAGCTTCTCCTTCCTGAATATACATATATAAAAATATAGCATTTATGTAAACATAAAATTTTTGCTTAAACTATGACTATTCTTTTATTTCACTCCAACTGAGAATAGAAGCCAATAGCAATTCAGCTTTCCCAATTCTAGTTACATAATGTAGTAACCAGCAACCTTAAATCTGTCTCCTAACTTGTCATATTTCTTTAAACTTGGGAGGCTTCCTTTCACTTATTCTTCCCTTTTCTGCAAGTTCTTTGGCTTTTCCACTGACTGTATTTACAACATCCATAGTTTCCAAACCCCAAATTGAGACTCACGGTCTGACAATTGGACAAAATATTTGAAAGCACAGATGTCGTTGAGGCATGTGGATTCTCTGCTGAAATTTCACCCTTTCCCCCGCTTAAATATTTTTCTTTGCTTAAGAGGCCAGATGATCTAGCTATCCGGAAGCAGAGGGAAGACTTGTAGGTGCTTGACTTATTTATTGTTTTACTCCATGCCCTGTGCCAGGAACATCTTTTTTCAGCGGTGGAGGGGGGCGGAGAGAAAGTCTGCATCTGTGTGTGGGCAGGTAGAGACACACCCACTTGGCAAGGAGGCAGCCCTGAAAGTGGGAGGGAACAGGAACCCCCGGTGCCCTCCTCCTGGGGGCAGGAGTCAGCTAACCACTGCCCACAGCACGCAGGAGCACTCATCCTGCCCCAAAGCCTTCAGAGACCAGTTCAGAGCCTTGCTTGCCTGTAAGTATCCACTTATGGGGTTGGGGGTGGGAGTATTTCCTAACTCTTTGGGGTTGCAAAGTTTGACGAATAAGGCTCTCAATCACTTAAGAAATGACCCCCCCAAAAGGAGAGAGAAGTCAGGCTATTTTTTTTTTAAATAATGTAATAGACTCATCCATTTATTTCAATGGGATGAATGAGCCAAACACCTGGGGTACGCTGCTGTCGAGAAGGTCTTATCAGCTCTTGGCTTTGCAGGTGACGGTGCCAGGGAAGGTGCAGTGTAAGCTACTTGCTGAGGACGGTCGGGGGACAAGTCTGCGGAGATGTGCTCCACCTCTTTCTCCTCTGTGCCAGCCAGCTCCTCCTGTTGAAAATAGCTAAGCCTGCTGTTCGGGATTCTTAGAACCGCAGCCCCAGAGGGACCTCTCTAGGGGCAAACTGACCCCACACACTGGGAACTTTATTACCTAGAGCTTGGCCTGCCCACTGCAGCAGTTCTCAGGAAGTGCAAGTGTCTCCCACAACAGCATCTCTCCGTGCTTGCTTCTCCCTCCTCTGAGGAAGGGGTGAGGCCCCAGCCCTGGGGGTCCCGAGCAGCCTGAGGGTTCAGAGCCTCTGAAACCTGTCTGTAGGCACCCCGGAGCACAGAGCCAGTGGAGGCGGCCAGGAGAGAATCAAGAGAAAAATCTAAAATTTTCAATATTCAGAAACACACGTGGTGGCAGTTGGTGTAGAGAACACCGAAGTCACTGAATAACTGTGTAACTGCTGGACTACCTTGTTTTGTCTTTCTGGTCCAGACAAGGAGGGATCGGTCCGGATCTGGGGCCTGCGGGGAATGTCCATGGGAGCCTCAGAGGCCATTTCGCGTGGCTCTGACTCACCCTGACTCTCCCGTGGAGCGGAAAGGAGGCAACATCACGCCACTCAGGTGTGGCCAGCCTTTGACCATTGTTGTGAATCCCCAGGAGTCACCACAGGCCCTTCCCGATTACTCATTTCACTTTAGCCGTGGTTCAGCTAAGACTTTGGGCTCAAGGAAAGCCGTAGAAGAGGAGACAGGATGAGGCGGGAAGACGAGGAAGAGGAGGGAACCAGGATGAAGGCAAAGGGAGACCTAGAGATGAAGGAGGAAGAGGTGGTCAGTGAGAAGGGAGAGCTGGTTGGCCCTTTCGTGAGCACCATGCCCACCCCTATGCCGCACAACAAGGGGACCCGGTTTTCCGAGGTGTGGGAGTATTTCCACCTGGCCCCCGTTCGCGCTGGCCACCACCCCAACCAATATGCCACCTGCCGCCTGTGTGGCAGGCAGGTGAGTCGTGGCCCTGGGGTTAACGTGGGCACCACAGCCTTGTGGAAACATCTGAAGAGCATGCATAGAGAGGAGCTGGAGAAGACTGGCCATGGTCAGGTGGGGCAGCGCAAGGACCCGAGGCCCCAGGGGCCACAGCTCCCCGTGGGTATTGAGGGCGACTGGGCCCGGCTCCTGGAGCAGGTGGGGGCCCTGGCTCTGTGGGCCAGCCAGAGGGAAAAGGAGGTGCTTAGGAGGGAGAGGGCAGTGGAATGGCGGGAGAGGGCAGTGGAAAGGAGAGAGCGAGCCCTGGAGGAGGTAGAGAGGGCCATCCTGGAGATGAAGTGGAAGGTGAGGGCTGAGAAGGAAGCCTGTCAGAGGGAGCAAGAGCAGCCTGCCGTGGCTCATCCCTTCCATTTTGTTTAATCAGTTGGGGAGGTATCTGTTCCGAAAACACAGACTTCAGGCTCACAGCAAAGAGCCACTTTAGCTTAAGTTGAAAGTATTTTGTTTTTAAGAGAAAGCGTGCATAGTATGAGTTACTCTCAGCAGGTGTAAGTTGACCAAACACCTTTCTACAGGTTTCCTGAAGCTGTCCTGATCAAAACGTAAAAATGTATTGACTGAAGATAAATGTTGTTTTGCCACCATGGGTCTGCGAGTTTGGGTGCAGAATGTACCATCTTGTCAGTGTTGATGAGTGAAAATAACAGGATTTATGCTCAGCACTTGGTTTTGGTGGAGGTGACGGTTCTGAGAGTTGAGGCTGGTGGGGTAGCTGGAATGTGCCTATGTGACCAGCTCACTCTAACAGGTGACACCAGGAGCAGAGCCTAGGCTTCCTGGGGCCCCTGCGTTTGCACCCATCCTGGTGGTGAGTTGAGAACTGGGTACAGAGCTTGTTTTGTGGGGCCCCGCTGTGGAAGGACACCGAAGCTTGGGCCTGAGATCTTGGGACCCATCTTTCTCTTGTGCCACCTGCTCATATTAAAGCTGTGCCACCAGCAGAACCTGTCTGAATCCTGTAAATCTTTTCAACAACTTAACATAAATGTAAATAGTGTGTAATCAGCACAGAGAGAATTAAAGACTTTACAACTCACTCAAATGAAACGTTAAGAACAGAGGATATAGAAACTTATTTGTAAATATTTAAAATATAATCCAACATCATATTAAGATCTGTTGAAGAGGGAGTTCATGAGGAAGAGATGAGAGAAACTCAGAAAGGAAAAGAGAAATGTAGGGAGGTGGGTGAGGAAGGAGAAACAAAGAACAGAGGCAGAAAACTAAAAAAGAAAGAAAAAGGGATAGAGAAGTGTGGCCACAGAAGAGACAGATTTCCTCCCCATCCCCCCAAAAAATCACCATGCAAAGATGAGAGACCATGACTATCTAGGAGACTGAAGGACATTTTCCTAGGTCCTGAGGTCCATTTTAACACTTAAGTTGCTTTTGTTTTTGTTCCCACAGACCACTCATTCATTTGAGCAGTAGGTTTTAGATTTTATCCCTGCCTTTGAGATGTTGGCTGCATGCCCATTGTTCCCTGATTTTTTTTTTAATGTTCATTTTTAAAATACTCAGAGATGCTTTGAAAAAAGGGAAGCTAATAGTCTATAGGGAGAGGACAATTCTGTGGGCTGCTGAGGATATGCCTAATTTGTTCACTCAGGAGTAGAATAAAACCAACCAGCAAGGACTGTGGCCTTTGTGCTAGGGTGGGCTTTTATTTTGAATGATTCTTCTGGAATCTATTATTTGTTTTCACTGGATTGGGGGTGGGATGAGCCGTAGTGGGAGCTGGCAGGGAGACAAGAGCTAATAAACAAACACAGTCTCTCATTATTTTGTAAATAGGCCCAAGCCCTTTATGGGTATCAACCTTCCAGAAAGTGGACAAGATCCTGGTATGTATAATAATGGCTCCTTGCCACACTCCATCCTTAGCTGTATATGGCTCCCTTTTTAGTGCTTGTTCTAACAGCCAGATCTGTCTTCCCTGTGAGCTGTCTGTGGAACAAGCACAAGTCTAAACACAAGCTTGTGAAAAACCCAGACTGTACTACAGGCTTATAATTTCCCCTTTTTCTAGAAACCTGCCTGATATTAAAAATTTCACCTCCCATATGGTTTCCCAAAGGGGTATGGTGCCATTTTTACGGCCCTCTCCAGCTAGGGTGAAAGCTCAGGGACTCACCACTGCAAATGATGATGACCGCTGGGAGTCCCATGGCTGGACCTTGGAAATCAGATCCTTATTGGGTCATAAGAAGAAAGAAAGAAAAGAAAAGAAAAGAGAAAAGATAAGAAATCAAGAAAGAAAGGAATGAGGAAGGAAGGAGGGGGAGAAAGGGAGTGAAAGGAAGGAATGGTAGAAAGTTGAAAGGAGGGATGGATGGAAGGAGAAGAAAAGCAGCTCTAATACCTAATCTTAAACACACACATATACATTTGAAATGGAGTTTAAGAAGGACAAAGAGTCCACAACGTTTCAGGCTTTGCAAAATCACAATTAAATAAACAGCAACAGTTAAAATCACCAAACAGCCACCAGAGCCATGCAGCTGAATGGTAATGTGTACTTTTAGATTACGGTGTCTGCTTCACAGACTTATTGACTTTAGCTTCTCTTCATTTTCAGGCATTTTTTAATTTCTTTTTTTTTAAAGATTTTATTTTTATTTATTCATGAGAGACATGAATAGAGAGAGAGAGGCAGAGACACAGGCAGAGGGAGAAGCAGGCTCCATGCAAGGAGCCGGACGTTGGGACTCGATCTTGGGTTTCCAGGATCATGCCCTGGGCTGAAGGCAGCACTAAAATACCCTTTCAGGGATTTTTAAAAAGATTTTATTTATTCACTTGACAGAGAGAGAAAGCACATAAGAAGGAGGAGCAGCAGGCAGAGGGAGAGGGAGAAGCAGGCTCCCTGTTCTGTGGGGCTCAATACCATGACCCCGGATCCTGACCTGAGCTGAAGGCAGATGCTGAACCGACTGAGCCACCCAGGTGTCCTCAGGCATCTTTTAAAAAAGATTTATTTATTTATTTGAGAGAGAGAGAGAGAGAGAGAGAGAGAGAGAGAGAGAGAGAGAGAACATATGAACGGGGAGGGGCAGAGGGAGAGAAGCAGATTCAGCTGAGCCTGGAGCCTGACACAGGGCTTGATCCCAGGATTCTGAGATCATGACTTGAGCCAAAAATCAAGAATCTGACACTTAACAAACTGAGCCAACCAGGCACCCCCTTCTCAGATATTTTAACCCCAAATATTTTTATTTCCTGTTTCATGCTAGGTAGTTATCTTTATATATTTTTTTCACCTAACTTTTGTCAAACATAATAAAGGTAGAGAGTAATGAGCATGAGACCCACAGATGGAGTTAAAGCACAAAGTACAGGCATCAAATAAAGACATATGTGGCTCCTGGAAAGACCAAACTGTTGAGTAAACCCTGGAGTTTTCATGCATCTCTCTTGTGCCTTCTTTTGCTGGATCATCAGGGTGGGCATGCAGGGCCAGGGGCTGTGGGCTGACAGCTCTTTGGGACAGCATCTTTTGTTCAAATACAAAGTCTCCTATGTGAAGGGGCCCAGTGGTTTCAGTTAAAGACTGTCTTTCCATGTCAGCTGTGGGGGTGATGCTGTGGGCCATGCTGGAGCGCTGGTGAAACCTGGCCCTGGAACTCACAAGAATATGACACCCACAGGTGTGACACTCTCCTTGGACAGCCCTGGCATGTCTAAGCCAAAGAAGCATCATTGTTAGAAAGTGTGGAGGCTTTTCTATTTTTCATGAAAACCCAATGAAGCATAAACTTTATCATTTTAGTAATGCTGGAAAACATAACTGACCGAATCCCTATTACTTTAACACCAAGGGCTGCTGGTGTAGTGAATACGTAACACATAGTAGGCAGCCAATATGAGCATGTTGAATTAGTTAATTTTTTTTTTATGATAGTCACACAGAGAGAAAGAGAGAGGCAGAGACACAGGCAGAGGGAGAAGCAGAGGGAGAAGCAGGCTCCATGCACCAGGAGCCCGACCTGGGATTCGATCCCGGGTCTCCAGGATCGTGCCCTGGGCCAAAGGCAGGCGCCAAACCGCTGCGCCACCCAGGGATCCCAATTAGTTAATTTTTAAGGAATAAAAATGGGGTTACAAATTACCATTCATTAACTAACACTTATGGTTGCCAGATGATAGATACTTTGCGTATGTTCTCTCATTTGATCTTTATATCACTCTTGGGAGGTTGGGATCATTCTCCCGGGTCACTGATGAGGAAGCTAAGGAATCGAGGTCCCAGGGGCCAGAGTTAATAAGTGATGGAGGAGAATACAGACCCAGGGCAACTGGATTCCACAACCCATGCTCTGTTTCTTCACTATCCCACCCTGTCTCCTAAAAATCAACCACACAGGAGATTTATGAATATTTATTCAGATGAAAGGATGGGTAAAAGAGAATAGGTGAATGATTAATAGTGGGGAGGAAAGAAATATTCCCGAGACATCTATTATGTGCAGTGTACTCCATTAATGTGCATAAATTTAGTTCACCTAAGAATCCTGTGAAATATTAATCCTGATAGCAGTTTTAGATGACTTAGCTGAGACTCATGGAGGTTAACTACTGGGTGAAGATATGGAGCCAGGAAGTGGTCAAATTAGGATTTGACGTTAGTTCTCTCTGCCCCTGAACGTTGGGGCCCCTCTTATTACACCACCCTGCCTGGAACCAGGCATGCTAAATTCTCATCCCTGCTCTGCCCTTTATTAGTGACTCAGTCAGTTGTGTAGACTCTCTGGGCCCCAATTTCTCATCTGTAAAATGGCTGATGCCCTACCTTTTTCAGAGGTTCACTGACATCACTGGATAAAAGCATGTGAAAGGACTTTGAAGAGTTAAGAAGCTATTAAAAATACAATAGAGACTCTAAGAATATTAAAGAAAGGAATTACTAATGTTTGGCAAAATCTTAAAAGATCCACAGGCAAGCTGTATCCTGTCACTGGTTATGTAGAGTCAGTGAGAGATTATTCACTAATTCCCTAGGAAGGAAGGTTCTCTGACTTTGCCTAGTCAGAACCTAGGTAAGCATGTGTACAGAAGAGGAAATCTGATAATATGTAAGAGAAAGTCCTTTTTTCTTTTTCATTGGAATTCTTGGATCCAACCTTAAGGTTCTGTTTCTGGATGGAATTCTTACTACCTGTAAACACTGGCACAAAGAACCTTCAAGAAATCCTTATAAGAAACAAAAATATCCATCAAACACTGTGCCATTAGATTGTTTTATTTAAAACTATTGAAATGAAGTCCACTAGTTTAATTGGAATTAATTGTGGAAGAACCAAAAATTTTAAGACTTTTTTTTATATACTCAGGACTACAACAGCAATCATCTAAGAGATGAATACATAAAATCAACAGAAGACACAAGTATATGCTCATCTGAAGCCATCCCACAGCATTTGAGCTATGGTTTGTATGCAGCTGTCAAATTAAATGACTGACACTCAACAGGATCAGAAATCATAACTTATTTAGGGTTCTTAGGACTAGAAGAAACTAGAAGATGAGCGTAATTTTCTCTCCTCCCATGTAGCAAGAAGTGTTTGAGAATTCATGGGAATATTTATTTTATAACTTGGGATTTTGAAAAGCTTGAATTAAGTCAAAAGGTCCCAAGACAGCTGATTAACACTAATAGTAATAACAATATAACAAGTATAATGTTTATTGAGCATTTAATATATGCCCTATTTATACTAAGAACTTTCTATACATGATTTCATTTAATTCTTAAGAACAACAATATGCAGATACCCTTCTTCTCCTCTTCGTATATAGAGAAAAACTGATGACAAAGATGTTGACATAATTTGCCTAAGTCACAGCCAGCAAGAAGAACTGGCAAGTGAGCCCAGATCCCAGTGACTTGAGGCTGGGAACTACCTACAAGAAACTGAAGTCAGACGGCCCTACTCTACTCTCCTATTTCACCTGCCTTTTCTTCTGTTGCCTGAGAAATAGCCAGGGTTCTGAAGGAATTACAGAAAAGCATCTTTCCTCTTGTTACTTCCAAATAAAAACTATAGGATGGCTGGTACAGGAAATGGATTAGAGCAAATTAAATGCCAGCTGAGCAAATGCCTTATTCTTACACCAGGATTCACACTGATTTCTGTCCAAGTATTTCCTTTCTATCCTCTCTAACTTTTATTAAGGAGAAGTTTAAACAACTGAGACTATTTTTCCAGAAAACTTAAGGACTAAGGATTAGAGATCACATGTTCTAAGAGCCCGAAGTCAGAAACTAAGGATGCCCATTTGGTTTCTAGGATTAACTCAGCTTCCCTTCTTCTGCACCAGAAATTAATTGGCTGAGGGCCAAGGAGTAAGGTCCTTTGAGAAAACATTCAGGACAATGATGCAACCCAACATCCCTTGGTAATCTATAATACCATAGATTTTCAAAGGCTTTAATGTGACTCACCTCTCCCAAGACATCCGTAGAGTTATTTTCCGTGATCATGGAGATTTCTGGCTTAGCTTAAAGGCAAATAAAACATAGTTAGTGGCATTGACAGTCATCGGACCTGGCCACTAGTGTGTGTGTGCGTGTGTGTGCGTGCGTGCATGTGCACGCATGAGTTCATACACATAAGATTCATCATTCATCAAATATTTATTAAATACCCACTGTGTGCCCAGCAGTATGCTAGATGTTGAGGAAAAGTGGACAGATCAACTTCACTGACCTTAGGAAATTTACATTTTCATGGAAAATACAGATCTTAGAAAACACCAGAGAATATTTCCGTGATTTTGATGTCCTGCTAGATCGTAAGTGCCTTGAAGTTCAGGCTGCTTCATTCATCTCTTTATCTCTAGCACTTAGCAGTGCCCTGCTCAAAACAGACATCGAGTACATTATGTTTAACTGAAGGGGCTTCAAGTCAGTTCTTGACGGCAGAAGAGCTGTCTATGAACCAGGGGAGGAACAGTAAGCCTGTCGCAGGTGCTGTCAATGTCTGCTATACTCACTTGGCACTAACTTCTACATGTTGAAGTCCTCTCGTTGGGCACACCTATGACTACCTCCTAAGGACTTATGGGAGCACACTTAGTCCACAAGTAGGGCAAACTGGAAGTCTAGAGAGCTAATGGTGATAACAGATGGGGCGTTGGTGGATAATACCCCAACTGCCTTGCCTTTATTTGGGAGAACTCTGATGTGTGTTCTTTCAGAGTTCCCCAGTGGGAATGAGCTCTCAGCCCACGCTGGAAACTGGCACGCATGATCATATACATTTCATTATCTGCCTTCCCTTCCTCAGCTTTTCCACCCCTCTTCTGATTTCCCTTGATAAATACTTCTCAAAGAAATTAACTTAACTCAAATTCTGGTCTCAATGTTTTCTTCCAGGAGAACCCAAATCAAAATACACCTTAAAACACTAACAGGAGGAGGGGTATTCTGACTTCATACTGGCAACAGATACCACTGGAATGAAACATGTTAAAGAAAGAACAGTTACTAAAAGCTGTAAAGGTACTAGAAAGACATTCCTTTTGAGGCTCAAACAATCAGGTTTGGGGCGTAAGAGGAGGCAGGAGCAAACCTGTGACGGCAGGTTCCCTGCTAAGGAAAGTAAAGTCAAAGGAGACTAGTGAGAGAGGGGCACGAAGTAGCAAGCAAGCTGTGGAAACTTCTGGTCTCTGGACTGTTAGAAAATGGAGGCATTATTAGGAAGAAGAAATAAGCTGGATTTAGGGCATCCAAGCTAGTGTGGGTCTGTGCTACGCTTGGGTATTTATTTCAAGATTTTCAAGTTTTTATTTTTGGCTTGTTCTATTTGAGGGATCACTGAGGGATGCTGAGTGGGTTCTCTGTAAGGTCTGTATTTTACTTCCATGCCAGGGCCACTATCGTATACACTTGGTGGCATATGCAAATAGTCTAAGGACTGGATGAGAGCGGCCAAGCACAGCCTGGCTGGCCCATTCGCTAAAGGGGAGAGCCAGAAGGCAGGGAAAATCTAATGAACAAGCAGACAGACTCTCACATTTTTGAGCATCCACTGAAAGGAGATCAAAGAAGAAACAGAGACGTAGAAACAGAGCCGACGTAGACACAAAAGGGCCGTAAGAGCGAGATGTGAAAGAGTGAAAAGCATTCAAGACCAAGATGGAAGTATCTACTGCCGTGAGGTATGGGGCATGGTTTAAGGGTTGACAATGCAGTTAGATCAAGTTGTGGTGCAAAAACCCTTGGTCAAATGGGACATAGTTCGCCTTAGAATCGACATTTCTTTTCACATCCTGGATGGCTGCCTTCATTGATTTGTTAAAAGTCAGGCCTGATGAGTCAGTTCCATGTTGGGTTGAAGACAGTCATGCCCCAGTAAGTGAGTGGACGGTGATATCCACGAGAGATCAACAGTCTTTCCCACTTCTTCACAGGGCACTGTTCAGGCTCCATAGGCAAACCTGATCATCAGGCATGATTGATTATCTCTTAGCCCAGAGATGGTGGGGGGGAGGGGGAGAGAGGGCAAGCTGGAGAGAGATATAGGAAGAGCTATAAGCAAGAGCCTTAAACTCCAGAAATTGTGGCTGTAGCTGCTTCCATCTTTAGGCCCCACAGACTGTGTTTCCCTTAAAATACTTAATTCTCTGACCTTTAAAAATAATGCAATAAGATTCTAAGTAAAAACAAAGATTATTCACCTGTCCAGTCATCCAGAGAACTGAGGGAAAAATCTAGAAGCTCATGCCCTTAGATTTTGTGAAGTTATTTTGTTTACCTCATTTGCGAAAATAATTAGTTGCTCATCCACATCACTGCTTTTTCTTTTTGCCTTCACTTAAAAATGACTTTTAAAAAAATACAGTTCATGGTGACAAAGATTTAAAAAAATACAAAGCCAGGGGTTTGGATTTATTAATATTGCCATGCATCACTGTGTAGGATTTTCACATTTCCCCCAAATTTACTCCCTGCAGAGTCTGTGCAATTTGCGTGAGGCCACAGTGGATATGTCAGCTCGGCTCCACACTTCTGTGAATGCAGGGACAGAGGGCCATCCCTGCAGGCTCCTTTGAGGAGGAGCTGGCCCTGCTGGGGGTGGAGAGACCCCTGCAGTTTCTTTGGAGCTGTGTTTATCATTTTCGTTTTCTCACAGTCCCAGTTCCGCCTTCCTCCAGCAAGCAACCAAGGCAATTAGACAACCAAGTAATTAGATTTTGGCAGTTATAATTAAAGAGATTTCCAGTATTCTCAGGAAACATTAGAGTTGTAAATAAGGAGTGGTCACCAGAAAACTGGCCAATCTATGGCTTTTCTGTGTGATTTTATTGTATTAACTCAATCATTAGTCTTTAACTTCCTATCCTTATCCTCACCCCTACCATGAATGACAGTACCAAGGGAAACAGAGCTCTAGAATAGCTACCCCGGGGGGCTACTCTCCAGTTAATAGGGCACTTTCTTTCCAGGGTGGAGCCAGGCACGGGAAATGGACAGGAAGATGGCAGGGAAGTCCAGAGAACAAAAACTCTTACCAAAAACCTTGACTGTGATGGAATTCCTCAAGATTTTGCCAGGTCTGACCATAATGTGGCAGGAGAACTTCCGGTCATCATCATGGATTTGGACTGGAGAGAGGCAGAGTGTATAGTCTATACCTAGCTTGACTCTGTCTTTAAATAATGTGGAATTGCTGATGGCGTGACCTTGGGTGATACGTGTTTCCTGAATTCCATTACCCTCCTGCTGAAGGAAACAGTTACCAGTTACTGAGCACTCAATCATGCCTGCTCTGGGCTAGACGTTCCACATGCATTAATTCATTTATATCATGGGAAAAAAGAGATGATGAATGAAGAATCAATATTTAGTATGTTACTAGAGACTCAAGATCTTTACAATTGACTTTCAGTTGACAACTAGAGTCATCCCCTCCTCACATGAATAAAAACTTGATGCTCTTCTGACTAAACTTCCCCTTCCTAACTTTCCATAAGCTGCATATCAGGCGGTGGGATTTGGAAGTTTCATTAGCAATGGAGGCTAATGAAAGATACTAGTTCTCATTTTAAGTTCAAGAATCTTGATGCTGGGCAGCCCAGGTGGCTCAGAGGTTTAGCACTGCCTTTAGCCCAGGGTGTGATCCTGGAGACTGGGGTCAAGTCCCACATCGGGCTCCCTGCATGGAACCTGCTTCCCCCTCTGCCTTTGTCTCTGCCTCTCTCTCTCTCTCTCTCTCTCTCTCTCTCTCTTTCCATGTCTCTCATGAATAAATAAATAAAATCTTAAAAAAAATCTTGATGCTAACATGTACTGTATCAGCTTTCTTTTAAATCTTCACCTCAACTGGATGATTACAGTTGTCCTCCATCCCACCTTCCCTTTAGAAAAGGTCTCATTTTAGCTCTCCTTGGGGTCAGAACTAGGATGAGTGAAGAGGCTCCTAGGGCATAACATTTCAGGAGGCACTCACTCTCAGGGGCTTGGAAATAGAGGGTGGGCACCTGAAAGTGCCTCCTTAAATTTTGTGCCCTAGGCACCTTCTACTCATGGTCCTTACCCCCCTGGCCTTATTTCTGTATTACCTTCAAAGAGGACACCTAAAGGGTAGACTGCAAACGTTAATCAATCTGAGTTACACAAATCAGAGTTTATTTGAAGTAGTTGGTTCTTCTATTCCATATCCTTTCTTGGGTGTGTGAAGTAAAGCTCCTATTATTCATTCTTGCCATAGCCAGAATTTCCAGGGACAAGATCACTATGCAGGTCAGTGTCAGTAAATGTGCTAAGGGGCAGTGAGGAGGGGACTCTTCAGGGGCACAAGGGTAGAGGATGGGTTATGCCCTCATTCTTCTTTAGTATAACCCAATATTCTCAATTGAGTTGCTTTGAAAACATTCTGATGCACAAAGTCTCTCCTCTGGAGATTCTACTTCAGTTGTTCTGGGATGAGACTCAGGCTGGGGCATTTTTTAAAAGGTCCTCAAAGGCTCCAGGTTTGAGAACTACTGTCTAACTCTGAACAACAGACGAATCATGATGGGCAGAAATCAAGGGGAAATGAAGGGAACTAAGATGAAGAATGTTGAACAGCAACGCGTTTGAAGGGGGGAAGAAGTCACAAAATATTGAAAACAGAACTCTGTCCATTGAAATCTCTGGCTTAAGTCTGTTAATAAGAGACAGATTCAGAGTAGTAGAAATGGAAGGTAAGAGAGAATTCAAGTATGAGCTAGGAGAAGAAATAGGAGAAACACAAAGGCAAACCTCTTAAATAGTTCAGACAGGCATTTCCAGAATATTTAGTAGAAAGTCTTCTGTAAGACATGATTCTTTAGGTGCATATGACTAGGATTGATAATTAGCCTTACATTACAGATACATAGACAGTAAGGCTTGCAAAGAATGATACCCTGCTCAAGATTTCCTCCTGAAACAATGTACATATCCCCCATGAAGCAGGACCTAGGGATCTGTGCTGCTATCTTCCTAATGAAGAAGCACACAGAAAACTAAAGGGAGAGAGCTTGTATCCTGGAGACAGAGGTCTTGAAAGGAGCCCTTAGCATTTATTGGGTGGTGACAGCAGAGAAAGTGGAAGGTAGTTCACTCAATGGCTGCTGATCTGGAGGCCAATAATTAAGGAAGCAGGCTCCCCCTGCAGGTCTACACAACTGACGAACTTACACAGCTCCGGCTTCACGCACAGGCTCTGTTTTTGAGAAGATCTTAGAGTTCAAAATGCTTTTTGGTCACTCAGTAAATGATTCCCCACTTGGAACATTTCCATCTGTTACTTTGTAGTGGGTAGAAGGGCAATCAGAGCCTGAGGTTGGAGACTAGGGAGACAAAAGCTGCCTTTCCTTTGTTGTGCAGCTTCCTGTGGCTGGCCAGGGTAGTTTCATTGATGGAGGAGTTATAAAGGGGGCCAAGGCAAGAACCTATACATGAATGGCCACCTTCACAGAGCAAATGAGAGAAGAGGTGGGGAAAGAATGAGCCCAGGCAAACAATGAAATATCTAGAATTGGGAGAGGGGAAAATAATACTATGCTATAACCACTACTAAAATTTTATATTCTTATTAATCGTAGCTTAAATTTATTTAGCACTTACTATGTTTTAGACATTGTGCAAAGTTCTTTCGAGTCTTACTTATTCCTTATGAAAGTCCCCAGCATACTAAGGCTAACTAATTTGTGCAAAGGTCAAGCAAAGCAAGAACGTACTTATGTCACAGAATCAAAAAGCACAAATGCCCAGGTCCAGAGACACTTAAGTCCCAGAGACAACATGTACTAATAAAAACCAAAACCATCACAAAACAATAAAAAGAATTTTCTTCTGATGATCTGAAATGAAAAATTTAAAAGAAATTCCAGGAAGCTGAAGGCCATTATACAAATTGCAGATTACAGAGGTGTGGGCAATTTGTTTATTGAAAGAGCTCTTTTATGATATATTGATCCAGTTTTTGGTGGTAGGGGTCAGAGAGTATAACTCAATTCCTACCTGATAATAATGATTTTAGGCAACCTGGTCTGCTGGAAACAGATTGGTAAGAGGTATTGGACAGAGTCTTTTTATTTCTTACCAGTTTGTGTGTTTTTCTTGTTCTTCAAAGAAAAAAAAATGATCACTTGAAAAAATAGTAATAAATATTTCTAAAACTTATTGGGATTCTCAGTTGGAGCACCCATATGATTGAAAGAGGAATGCAGACTGAACTAGCTTACATGGTATCCCTATGCTTGTCCTGACACTCAATACATACTCAAGTAACACAAATGCACTGTCCTCCAGCCTCACTGATGATCAGTCTTTATTTCCTAAGAATTCACCATCTGCAAGGCTAACTTAAAGAATTATGGAGAGTCATAAAATCGATCTTTTAAAGATTAACTTTTAATATGTATGGTGTACAGGTACTAGGCTAAGCTATCTAGTTTGTATTACCTTATTTATTCTTCATGATACCACCATGGGGTCAGGCTATAATCATTCCCTTTTACAAATGAGGGAACTAAAACTTAGGTAACACAGCCAAAGTCACACTGAATTCTGAGACAAAAGGAAAAACTTGTGCACCTATATGCACTTCTTACTCTCCCATATTTTGACCAAGTGGAAAAATTAATGAAAAATCTATAATTAAAAATCTATAATCTATAATTAAAAATCTAAATCTATCATTAAAAAGAATTTTTTATGACTATGTAAAGTTGTGCCCATGGGGGACATAATACCATGAAGTCCCAGAAACCACAAGCTAATTAGAAAATACTTCTCCTTGAACAGCATACCAGGGTCTCAAGACAGACAAACAACAGCCTACCTTTATTTAAAATTTTGATATTTGGTTTATAACACATCTCCCCTAAATTTTGGTTTTAAAAATATTTAATTAAATTATATATCTTAATCACTGATTTTGGGGCAGTCCCTTAAATTTTGCACTGAAGGAGAGGGCCTTGCTCACTTAACCTTAATTCCAGCTCCCAGGTCACACAGTTAGTAAATGGCAGAGCCAGTATTTGAAAACAACAATTTCCTCCTAAAAGTCATGCTGTTAATGATTTTGCTATATTGAGCCTCATAACAGGAGTAGAACAAACAGTCCTTGCCTTTTCTGCTTATAGTCTATTTGAGGAGAAAAATAAATTCACAAGAAAAACAAAAAAATCAGGACCCATTGAAGAGAAATAAGTAAGTAATGAAATTTTGGGCAGCAGTTGGATAAAATAATCAGCTAATGCGGGTTTGGCAGGGTCATACTGAATCATGAAAAACTCTTCCTATATGTCCCTTAATGACCTTAATGACAAAGCTTAAAATAATTTGTGAAGGCTGGTTTTGTACTAGAACCGGAATTTCCAATGAAGAAAAGAGAGCTTGGTACCTTTTGATTCAGTGATGTCATCTTATCTCCAGGCTGGCCTGAGCCATGTCAGACCTGGCTGTGTTGACCACAGTATGTGGCAGGCGTTGAGCGTATAGAGCTCATTCAATAAATTTTGTTAATTATACCAACTGCTACTTCTTTATCTCCAGACTGCTTCCTCTCTTCACATTTCTTCCATATATTTTCCATCCAGTCAGTGCTGTGAAAGCAGGCTGCTTACAAAAGGTCCCCACGTCTACTTTGTAGAGCACCGGAACAATATTTTTCCAATCATCACAATTTGTTGTCACTCCTTTGTGGGTTGGCTACCACTTTATTTCTGATTACAGTGAAGGCAATTAGGGTCAACTGCCATCATGTAGAGGGTGAGTTTTGTTTTTCGAATAGTTAGGCTTCCCACAGGCATGGGAAACCAACATCATTCATAATGCCAGTTCACTTTTTACTTAAATATGAAACATTACAAATGTTAAAGAAGAGTATATGGAAAAGATATATTTAAAGAGAGAAGTGTAAAGAAATATAAGCATCTGGGTTTTAGTTATGTACCTTATCACAAATATTGAACTGTTTGAATCTGATACGGCCTTCTCCTTTTTTTTCATGGTTTTAAAGGAAAAAAAAAATCATGGGTTTCTCTTTATCCACCAACTTTGGAAACAAATGTTTCCTTGATACCTCTCTCCACCTCCACTACCAACTTGTACTCATGGGTCGTAGGGTCTTGGTATAGTACATGTCTGATGTTTGCTGGCCAACTCTTCTTTAATCATCCAGCTCAAATATAACCTAAGAAGCTTTTCCAGGTCCATTTACACAGAATCAAACTATTTTCCCTCTCGGCTGCCATTTTTTATGTTTTTATTAAAGCTGTATTTCATGGCAGGAAATGTATTCGATATGGTTGTGTATCCCTGCAGGACCTAACACTCAAAACAGATTCATATATGTTTGTTGGACTGAATTAAAATTTATGCTGTAGAAAATCAGGGTGATACCTTGGAATGGAAACAGAATATTAGGCTTGTATTTAGAAGCTCCCAGAATAAGCCCATAGAATTTCCCAGATGACTGTATATTTGTGCCCCAGGACATAAATTGGAAAAACTATTACTTGTCCTTTATCTACCAACTGCACACCATCCAAACATAAAGCTCCTATGACTTCTTATTCATCATCCCATCATATACATAAGCTCTCAGTGACCCCTGAAGGATTAACTCTTTATGTTTATTTAATTATCTCTCATGCTAGATGAGTGTTGGATATGCAATTTGCATCTGATGACTTCCTACTTCAGTATAGTCACCATCCTGGCATGTAACTTCCTCAAATGCAAAAAAAAAAAAAAAAAAAACAAAAAAAAAAAAAAAAACAAAAACAAAACAAAACAAAAAACATTATATTCATTCCTGAGAGACACACACAGAGAGAGAGAGGCAGAGACACAGGCCGAGGGAGAAGCAGGCTCCACTCCAAGCAGGGAGCCTGATGTGGGACTCAATCCCCGGCCTCCAGGATCGCACCCTGAGCTGAAGGCTGTGCTAAACCGCTGAGCCACCCGGGCTGCCCCCATGAGCACATTTAACAAAGCCTTTACATGGGATCCCATACACAAGGCAAATACTTTTTTATGATAACTGAGGATCCTAATGATAGCCTTTTCCTAATTTCCTTACAAGAATTAGAGTTCACAAAATCCCACATACAAGAAGACATGACTTTTGTTTTTCAGTGACCTAGATTAAAATTATTTTGGCTTAGAAAATTGTTTCCAGGGCTCAATGAGGCACTTGAAGTCGGGGGGCAGGGGGAGCACCTGGCAGCTGCCTGGCAGGCTCCTATACTCAGCTCATCTTCACCACCTCCACTCTTTAACCTTTTTCTAAAAGGCATATTGAATTATGTTTTTAAGAACAACTGGCTTACTGTGATTATTATTGCAAGTTTAACAAGAGATCAAAGAATGAAATATGGATTGAGGGGGTATCTGTGTCCTCTGAAGATCTGCGACAGTCATGACTTGAAGAGCTGCAGTTGATTCCCTACTACGAGCACATTAGATGGTTTCTTATCAGACCTGCTGAATCCCACAGCTGCCAACAGTGTGGAGCACAGATGTAAATTGGAAGAGCAAATAGATTTTGACATTTAAAAAGGGAATGCGCAGTAGGAATTTACTCAGCACATTTGGCAATACAACGTTCCCTTTGAAGAGACGTTGCTTTCAAAATGATTCCTCAAGTTATCTGTATCATGGTGCATTCTTCAAAGTGACAGCATGGCTGGAAGTTCTGGAAGTTTAGGACTGCCTCACTGTGTGACCTTAGGTGCACTCTCTCCGTCCCTCATTTATCCTAAATGTCCTGGCAGGATCCACAGATAACATCTGCATAGCCTTCTCTGTTTCTTTGAAGACAACTACAACATAGAAGGTGCCTTATCAGTTATCTAGTTGTTGATACTTAATGAGTTGCTCAATAACCAACCAGCATGAATTTAGTGACCATCAGTTTAATATGAGGCCAGTGAGTAGGACGGTGGGGGAAAGGGACAAAGAGAAACAGATCTATTCAATTATTTATTGAGTCTTTATTGAGTGCCTGTGTTCTAGGTACTAAACCAGATGCCAGGGATTTTTTTCAATGAGAGGCACTGTGTTTAGACCTGGAGAAGCTCAGAGTCACACAAAAGACACAGGCTGGCTGAAGTATTGACACTTGCTTGGAAAAACAGATAACCTAATCTTTAGATAAGTTAAGAACACTATAGATCAGCTCAGTAGCCAGGCTAAATCTCTGCAGTCAAGCTTTATTCAACTGTATTGTTATTTATTATTATTAAACTTGATTATTCCCCTTGATAGTGAAATTGTGATAATTAGAGTGTAAATGTTTGCCCATTGGTGGGAAATAGGAATAACACAAAGTACAGACGATGCACTTCCATTGCTGTAATGTTTAGTAGGGCCAGTTCCTGGCCTCTTGAGATCATCTTCTCTTTTCAACTTTTTTTTCTGAGAACCACTCTATATCATGCTTTAACAACAATTGCCTTATACTAATGATAGACATACTAATGATAGGAAGACTTACATTTTGGAAACCAAATCCTATAAAGGGGGAAAAGTGGTTTTTGACAGATGACAAAGGAGACACTATAGATTTTAGAACAGTCTGGGAAAGTTATTTCAGAACATTTTTTTCTTTTCATCCTACTGACTATCCAAAAAATATCTAGACAGTGAAAACTCATTAGTAAGTTGCATTCTGTGGCCTCCTTGCAAGCCCATTATTTTGGATTTGGCACATCCTCAGAAAAATCTCTGTGCGTTAGGGGTCTAGTTTCCAAGACAGTCCTCAAAAATTTCGGTAACTTGTAAATGTGAATTATCATTTACGTGGATACGGTATTTTGCAAACTGTAGTAGCCACTACATTCATGGAGATCTAGGAGTTCTGCAAGAATTTTTAAATCTTGTGTTTTCCTTTTGATGACAGTCTAAAAATTATTATAATCATATTCTGGATCATCCAAATATGCACCCCATTGTGTGATTCTCAAAACTGTGCTGATGGTGATCTTTGTGTTAGTCTCATGTCATCAAACAATTTAAGAATATTAGAGGTCTACTATAAATTTAGATCACAGCTAGCTGCCATTTGGTTGAATTGCCTCGGAAAATTTCTCATGAAAGTCTAGACTTTTGGCTCCTTCCTTCCTTCCTTCCTTCCTTCCTTCCTTCCTTCCTTCCTTCCTCCCTCCCTCCTTTCTTTCTCTTTCTTTCTTTCTTTCTTTCTTTCTTTCTTTCTTTCTTTCTTTCTTTCTTTTCTTTCGATTTCATTTATTCATGAGAGACACAGAGAGAGGCAGAGACATAGAGAGAGAAGCAGGCTCCATGCAGGGAGCCTGATGTGGGACTCGATCTCGGGACTCCAGGATCAACACCCTGAGCCGAAGGCAGATGCTCAACCACTGAGTCACCCAGGCATCTCTCTCTTTTATTTTGTCTTTTCTTTTCTCCTTTTTAAGTCAGAAAACATGACATCTATGGGCATGCCACAACCTGCGGCAATAATAAAACTGAAATTGCTGCTGAGTGGTTGCTTCTCATACAAGTCCTGCTTCTCTCATGTAGGTTTTCTGCCAATATCTCGTAAGTCTGAGGGTTTGTGTTTCCTCATCAAAAGGAATGTTGTGTATTCCCCAGGATGCAGTAGCAAGGGTTCTAGGAAAAGGGGTTTCTACCCCTGCATATGTTGTTTATAAAACAAATATTTGTGTGTATAGGTTTCTGCTGGATTTGGCTTCTCTCCGGGGCACCATCACACTTTTTTCTCTCTATAACCATGGTTTGGTATATAGCTTGAAATAGAAACTAACCTTTAGGAACTAATTTTTAAATAACTGCCTTCATAAACCCAAAGGCTTGCCGAACTGGAAGGAATCATAGTGCCCTCCCTCCTTCCCCTCCCCCAACAGTCCCCAACCTTTCACTAGTGTGCTTTCTTCCCTATTATTACTTGTTATTCATTTTTATTTCATTAATATTTAAAGATCATTGCAGTTATTCACCGAAAAGGGCAACACTTACCACCAACCATGCAAAGGTGGACTCAGACAAAATTTCTGAGGAGATATTTTGAAAGCATGGAATTTCCAGAGTCTGATTTAACCATACTTCCATTATATGGCTGCTTCCCCATTCATCTTGTGTCACTGTAACAAAACATAGGTGGAAGAGATATGAATATGTGATTGGTTTATAAAATGCTTTTTGTGAGAGAAACAGGAACAGTTTTAATGGAGAGATTCATCTACCCTCAGCGCAGACCTTTGTCAAGGCAAGACCCCACTACATTCCTCATTGTATAAATGGCAAAATGGGACCACTGAGAATCAGAAAGTTCCTTATCACTGAAAAAATACAGAGAAACTACCCTAAAAGAATCCAACTCACTATTTGGTATGTTCCTTTGCTTTAACCCCAAAATTAGGCTTCAGACCATATTTTCTTGATTAGTTAGAATATAAAACTTTATAACTTAGCCTCTAATTGTCTCATTAAACATTCTAATAGGTTTCAATTTCTTTTGAGATGTTTAAGGTTCATAGCAAAATTGAATGGCAAGTACAGAGAGTTCCCATACATTTGCCTCCTATGCATGCACAACCTCCCCCACTATTAACACCCCTAACCACAGTGGTACTTTTGTTACAATCAATAAAACTACATTGACACATCATTATCACCCCCAGTCCACAGCTTATTTACATTAGAGTTCACTCTTGGTACTGTACCTTCTGCGGGTTTTGGGGAATGTATAATGACATGTATTCACCATTATAGTATCACATGGAATAGTTTCACTGCCCAGAAATCCTCTGTGCTCTCCCTATTCATCCCTCTCTCCTGCCAAACTCTGACATTTATCAATCTTTTTGCTGCCTTACTGCCTTTATGAGTTGTCTTTTTAGAGTTTATAAATATTCCTCCAAAGAGGGACTGATACAGAAAAATATATAAGGAAAATCTGAAGAAGCATTATTAATGGACTATTTTCTTTCTTTCTTTCTTTCTTTCTTTCTTTCTTTCTTTCTTTCTTAGTAATAATGGATAAATATCAGTTTCATAGCCTCTCTTTGGGTAAGTCATAGACACACACATACGTGTTTATGACTAAACTATAATAATATCAAAGAATAATTTATAAATGAACTCTATCATCCAGATATTCTAAAAATCCGCTTTTCTTTTTTCCATGTCCATACAAATCTTGTTTGTATGCATATGTTTTCTCATACTTTGCAGTCCTTTTAACCAACAAACATTACTGTATGTTTACATAAAATGTTTTGCGTGATTCTTAAGCTATTTGTGGTTGAAATTTTCAGACTTTATGTCATGCTGTCACATATACACATCATCATTTGTTTTGTCATTTCCAATTACTGAATAATGTGTTCTTTCAGTTTGGGCTTTTAGTTTATTTAAACTATTATAACCAATATAGCAAGGACCATCCTTATACTAATAGCTTTCTTCTGACCATTCAGCTACTTAACATAAATTCCATGAATTTAATGGGCATGAGTATTCTCATTATTATCAACAGCATATTTTTTGAAGTGGAATATTTCTCAGTCTGGAATGTTACATCTAGACTGTAGGAGGACTTTGTTACATTCCAATCTCTCAGTAATAGAAGCTATCTTCTTTACTGATAATTCTTTCCTCCTCCCTTAATTGAAACCAGGCCTTCCCAGTAGGTCACATCTTCCCTGCATCACTCTCAAGTAGTAGCTGTTTATTTTCTCATACCCTTATTTCCTCAAGATTAGGAGGTGGGATCAGTGCTTTCCTTGTTCCTCATTACTGCTTCCAAATGTTCCTCCAACCCCATAATTTAAAAAAAAAGGCCCTGCCCTTTATAGTTAAAACAATTTAGCTATAACAGTACTTCCAAATGGAGTTTTTTTTTCCCCAAATGGAGTTATTTGTATACTCCACCAAAAATTGTTTGCCGGGACTACATACCACCATTGCTATTATTTAATTTTATTCTTGATATTATTGTAATTGGATTTTTTGTAATTGTTTTACTTATATAAGTTTATTTTAAACAGAGAATGATCTAGACACTAATATTTGAGAAGCACAGGAAATCCACTTGATATGTTAATTGTATTTTAATGTACATTACTCAAATATATAAGTATTAGGTTTTTGTAAAGTTTATCCAGGTTCTGGGAAGTTGGGAATGCAACCGATCTGACTTTTTTAATATTCCTGAAACTCCCTATAGAAACAGACAAAGTTAACTAGAGTAGCAAACCTAAAAACACATAGGCGATACATATAGGAACACTAATTAACAATATACCCCCCATAATAGGTGGGGACAAATCACTGGACCACTGTGGTATCAGCAACTGAGCAGAAACAGGAAAATTGACTGGGCTTCTGATGCCCCCCAGAACTAGATAACTGCCCCCAAAAAGCAACAGGTAATCACTGGAAAGACATGCAGACTAGTCTGAGAATAGCAGCAGAAATGGAGAAATGAGTTTGCAGGCACCAGATTACCAGTGCCTTCAAGGGAAACAAGAAGAGGCACAGCAGTGCTGGAACACAGGGTGCTTTTCAGACAGATCCCATACTGTGAAGAAACCCCTGAGAATCCAAATTAAACAGGACAGGTCCAATAGGAGAAAGCAAACGGGCAATTTAGATAAAAGTGAGGGATAGGAGGAGAGGAAGTATATCTCAGAAAGTACAATGGCATATCATTTACCTCAAAACTAACAGAAGAGAGGACTCTAGGGGCACTGAAGACTTTACAAAAGCTAGCCTAGGCCACCCTTCCACGGCAAAAATCAACATGCATTTACCTTAAGCATGAGCAATAGAAAAGGAATGGGGTTGAATCACATATGAAGATACTATAAGAAGAAAAGAGAGCAAAAGAATATCCCCACAACAATGATGGCATATTAGAAAAAAAGAATTTCACAATGAATAAACACTAGAGTCTAATAATTCAAAATGAGGTAATAGAAATAAGGAAAATGATATGAGCTGCAAAAAATTTTAGCAAGACTGGTAAATGAATTAACTGGCAAGAAGGAAGAAAGCTCAGGGGATCCCTGGGTGGCTCAGTGGTTTAGCGCCTGCCTTTGGCTCAGGGCGCGATCCTGGAGTCCCGGGTTCGAGTCCCACGTCAGGCTCCCTGCATGGAGCCTGCTTCTACCTCTGCTTGTGTCTCTGCCTCTCTCTCTCTCTCTCTCTCTCTCTCTCTCTCTCTGTTCTCTTATGAGTAAATAAATAAAATCTTTAAAAAAAGAAATACATATTGAAAGATTATACTGCAAAAGTAGGGAAATGGGTTCAGAATAGACATTAAGGCATATTATTATAATGGTATTTTTAAAAAGTCAGTTACAGAAAATGGGATTATTATTAGCTTTTTGACAGCCACTCATTATACCAGAAAATAGGGTAGCAACATATTTAATGTACTCAAGGAAAGAAAATGTGACCTAAGGATTTTATTCAGCAAAATTAGCCTTTTGATATGAAGACGACATAAAACCTGTCAGAACCATGTATAAGAACTCAGGGCATATTGGTCCCATGAGCACTTCCTGAGGATTCTCCAGTAGAATACACTTTAGACTGGAGAGGCATTTACATAAAAGCTGAGATAAGTGTTGAATCTACGCTCACCTTTAGCACTAAACATAAATCATTGCTATAGGGAAGAGAGTAGTAATAAATATATATTTTTAAATGAAGATAAAATAGAAGTATTATAAATGGGGTAGGGGGACGGTTGAAGTGCTTATGGCTATGGGGCCATGGAAAGGTCCGTAAAACAGGCATGTATAAAACCAAGCAAATGTATAAAAACCATCATTTCAAGACCAAAGGCAAACATAATTGGGAAGCATCTCTTCTTGGAAAAATGCTAGAATTTCACTAAGAATAGCAAGACTCTACTCTTCTCACCTAGGGATCCTTCCATTCCCTTCCCCAGCATTGTCAGTGAGAAAGAAGCTTTACCATCTTGGAGCTGGCTGCAAAAAACAGCAGCTTTTCTTCCAGAAGAAGCAGACTTAAATTAGGTTTGAGTGTGAAGATCCTTCACTTTGTTAGCTAACAGGCACAAATTTGGTAGGAAACAGAGAAAAACTGAAGCTTGGTTAGCGTGGGTTTGCAAATCCCACTTGGAGTGAGTAGCAGACCAGACAGACATTTAACACAGAGATTCTGGAAATTTGAGTCATGAAATAGCTCAGATGAATTATCTGCTCATCCTAGGCTGACTGAGAAAATAACTACACGGGGGAGTGGGGAGACCTCAGAGAGCTTTCTGAAAAGCCAAACCCAAAGGAGACCATGAAACTGTCTGCAACTCTGCATGAACCCTCTAACCACCTCCTCCCCCTAATCCAACACACACATACATCTATATGTAGAGGGTGGAGGCCTAATAGGCCTGAGGAATTTGAGTACAACTTTTGTCAAATTCATTGGTGGACCAATAAAGGAGCTTTGCCAATGCAGGGGCAATTCCTTGGAAACCAAAGTAAAGACATAATAATTCTTATAAAAAGTTGAGTAGAAAAATCAATAGCCACACACTGAAGAGGAAATAGGTTTTATAATTTAGGTATGAATAGTTACCAAAATTTAAAAAAATTAAGAAAACCTAAAAAAAAACCCCACTGGATCTAGAGCTGTCACATTATTATTATTATTCATGTCTAGATTTTAACAAAAAAAAGATGATACATGAAGAGGAAAGAGTAATCCATACTCAGAAAAAAAGGCAGTTAGTTAAAATTGATTCTGAGTAGGCCCTACATTGGATTTAACAGACATTACAGCAGCTCCTGGAAGTATGTTCACAGGATTAAGACAAAATATGATGAAAATGACTCAATAAATAGGGAATCCTAGTGGAGAAATAAAAAACTATCAAATGAACCAAATAATTGTTCTAGAGTTGAAAAGTCAATAACAAAAATGATGAAAAATTAACTAGGGATTCTCAATAGCCAATTTGGGATGATGGCAGAAGAAAGAATCAGTGTATTTGAATATTGATCAATATAAATGATCTAAGGGCACCTAGGTGGTGCAGTTGGTTAAGCATCAGACACAGGTCATGATCTCAGGGTCATGAGATTGAGCCCCACATTGGACACTGCACTCA